CGGAAGGGGGTTCGGGTGAAAAATTACACCGTATATATAAGGCAAAATCTGTAATTTTACCTCTATATATTATGTTTTGAATCCCCTTGACACAACCCAAAAGCATAGCTCAGTGGTCAAGGGGGTTCAAATTCTTTGTGAGGTTACTAGTTCAATTTTTGCTGGCCACAATCTCTTCTAATTTTTTAACTTTTTTTCTTTTTTGAACCCCCTTAGCGGAAATCTTGCTTCCGCCATTGATCATGATATGGGTCGATCAACGCTTATATAAAAGCTGTTGCATGAATCTAAGATGCAAATGCATGCTCATGATCCACTCTCTATACTTCACAACACAAATGCTTGTTCCCGACATTAGCCAAGTGTCCAAACTAAGCACCAATCTGGGTGTCTGCACTTACAGGGCCCAAAGTAACATGGATAATCACCTGACATCGGAGGGACCGATCCATATCCAAGCGCTTTTGCGCCATGCAACCGGATCAAATCATAATCAATAATCCATATCCATATCTGCTCACAATATCCTTGGTGCCAAAATCCTCACCTTTACTCAACAACTATCTCTCCAACTATGTATGTGCAATGATATGATATGATAAAGATGCACCAGGACATAATAATAAATGCGGATGAATAATAACATGAATATGAGATGGTTATGACTAATCATGTAATTCAACTTTTCATAACAATTTAATATTCTTAAGTCACATCATGATATCAAACACGAGCAACAAGAGCTAATAATCACCGAACCGTAAGTCAAGTAAAACTAACATGGGTACGGCCACATCAACAAGCCAAACCCTAAACATAACAACAACAACGACAACAACCCAGTATAATCCCACTAGTGGGGTCTGGGGAGGGTAGTGTGTACGCAGACCTTACCCCTACCATGGGGTAGAGAGGCTGTTTCCAGTAGACCCTCGGCATCCTTCCCTCCAAGAATTCCCCACCTTGCTCTTGGGGTGACTCGAACTCATAACCTCTTGGTTGGAAGTGGAGGGTGCTTACCATCAGAGCAACCCACCTTGTCAAAAGCCAAACCCTAAACATGATTTCTAATAAGAGATAAGCTTCTTCACGTAATCATAGAATCAATAGAACATGAGTACACAATTCATAAAGACCAAATAAAGCAAATCATAAGCCTAACTCCGTCCGGCTAAGGTCATAACCTAGCTACAAATTTACGCTCGTCACCTCGCGTATACGTGGCGCCTAAATCAATTAACAAGGAGCAAATACATCACCTATGGGGAGAATTTCCTCTATAAGGACAGACAAGAGACGTACCTTCATATAAGAACACCTTCAACCTCCCAAAATAGCTTTTGCCGTCAAATTCACCTCCAAATGACTAGTCAAATACAACTCAATAGCGTCAAACAAAGCTATAGGAATCAATACCAAACAATAAAGCTTCAATATTTAACCAAATCTCCAAAAGTCAACTCGGGCCTACATGGTCAAAACCTAAGTCACGGGGTATATCCCGACTAATCATAACCTCACGAGTCCAAATATGTGATTAGATTCCCAAACCAAGTCCAAATCAACCTTCAAACTCCCAAATTTCACCCTCTTAAGTTTAGACAAAACCCGCAATTTCTCTTCAAAATTCAATGATTAAAGTGTATAAATCCATTGGGAATCAAGATATATATTCAAATCCAAGTGGAAATTAGTTACCCACTAAAGTTGTAGTGAAATTCTCTTCCAAATTCGTTTCTTCCCGTGCTCCAAAACTCAAAATATTGAAATATGAGCTAACCTTCAAAATATAACAATGCTGCCAGTACTTTAGCATTTGCGGCCAAAAATGTCACTTCTGCGACCAAAAGCTCGCATCTGCGAGCTTCCACCCCACAGCCAGACCGTGCACCTGCGACACAACCATCGCTTCTGCGGAACCGCAGGTGTGCAAGCACACTTGCAGGTGCGCAATCCCATCTGCGACAACCCCCGCACATGCAAGCCTCCCGGCTCCAGGCCTAACCTTCACTTCTGTGTTCCTTCAATCACAGGTGCGACTGTAGACAATAAAATTGTGTCAAGAAAATAATCGAGACCGAAAAGTATTGCAACAATCGTAGTATTTTATTTCAAATGATTTGACTGTTACAATCTCTATGATTCCTCTAATTTCTTCTTTCCAATAGTAAATAAATTCAAGGGCCTTTGAGCATGATCTTGAATCTATATTTGTAGCCATGAACGATGATCTTGAATTTAACTAGCACGAACTTTGATTTGAACTCGTACTCCATGAATGTTGATTCGCTCTTCGTTCTTGAGCTTTGACTTGATTTTTTGGACTTGAACTTGATTGCTTGAGGCTTGAAGCTTGTAGAGAAATTGTGACGTTTGATCCACGAGCTCTCTTTTACTTCTTGTTATGACTTCTGGTGTCTTTTGTGAGTTATGAAGACCCCTATTTATGGTTGTGGAAGAGAAGAGTTATGATGAGAACAATCTTGAAGCGTGACAAGGCCGCATTTGATTGGCCAGAACATGTCACTTGCACAGGTGACGCGGTTTTATTGGCCTTTTAATTAGACTTGGCATGCCTTGTCATTTTGATACGTGGCATGATCCTATTGGCTATTTCGTTTGATTTGGCGTGCCACGTCATTTCACACGTGGCACCAAATATCCCTCTAGAAAGGTGACATTTTGGGCCTAATGAAGTGGACTTATCACTTATAGCCCCAATTAAATGGGCTAGCCCAATGAATTTAGACTTATTTACTTAATCCATATATATTGAACTTGTCTAATTAATCCAATTATATTAGCTCATAATATTTATTTGAACTAATATATTCAAAATATAGTCCACATTATTTTATCGATTTAAATTCGATAAAATTTAAATGCTTACAGCGACATCGCACTTGCGCACCAAACCTTGCAGGTGCAACACACCAGCAACAATTACAAGCTCCACAATGGTCCGAAACATACCCGAGTCCCCCGGGCCCTCATCCAACCATACCAACAAGTCCTAGTACCTTATTCAAACTTATCCAAATGCTCAAAACACCATAAATAACATCAAAATCAAGAATCGAAGATCAAAATTCTTCTTTTTAACTTTCAAAACATTCCAATTCCCCAAACATTTTCGAACCACGCCTAAACATTCCAGATCACAACCAAACTTCACACACAAGTCCCCATCAACTAAATGAACCTACCCGAAGTTCCGGAACACCAATCGGAACCTGCTAACACTAAAGTCAATACCGGATCAAACCTACGAACTCTTCCCTCCTTCTAATTGTCAATTTTCCGCAAAAAGAGTCAAGCCTTCTAGAAACGTCCAAATCCAAATCCGAACATACGCCCAAGTCCAAAAATTACCACATAAACCTATTGGAACCATCAAATCCCGTTTTCGAGGTCGTTTACTTAAAAGTCAAAACATTGGTCAACTTTTTCAACTTAAAGCTTCCGTAATAAAAATTTCTCTTCCAAACTACCTCCGAACCTCTCATAAATCAAAACCGAGCATATTCGCAAGTTATAATACATCACATGAAGCTACACAAGGTCTTAAACAACCGAACGGAATGCTAAGGCTCAAAACGACCGGTCGGGTCGTTATAATGTCAGTCATTTTATCATCAGATTGTAAAAGCTGGTTTAGTTTTGTTGTGACTTTCTTTGTCTTGAGGATTGAGTAATAGAGAAAAGATTAATTGTTACAAGGGAAAAAGGAAATTGGTTGCTGTTATGATTTTCGTTTTTTGGTGGTTGTTGTTACTATTTTGATCGGAAACACTCTCTCTGCCCTTCTAGGGTAGCGGTAAGGCTGCGTACATCCTACCCTCCCCAGACTCCACTTGTGGGATTACACTGGGTTGTTATTGTTGTTGATGTTGTTACTATTTTGACAAGGAAAACTGAAAAGACATATAGATGATTACAGTATGAAACGAAAGTTAGCTGTGAGATTTGGTACACTTGTTTATCGTTGTAGTCGAATATATTTTTGATTAATTTGAGTGAAAAAGTATGTGGGGGCTACTATGTAATTTTTTTTGTTTTCAAATTGAAAAGTTAGTCCTTTATAATGTTCAGGTATATTACCATCACATGCAAAAAGAAAACTATTCTGATCTACAAATGCTATAGGGAATTTGATATTATGGACATCCGAATATACTGCTCATGACATCCAAATAAATAATAGAGCTAGGTGTAAAAGTAATTAGCTTTTTTAACCATTTCACTTGTGTATATAGCTCCTACTTTGTTTTTTCTCTGTTGAACAAAAAGGAGAACTGGCTTTCTTCCCTTGTTAGGATTGAACAAAAACAGGCAGACAAAAAGATTTGTCTTTCTGCTCCAGTTTTCTGAATTTCTGAGAAGAAAACAACCAATTAGTAAAACTGGAATATCGCAAAGCGGAAAATTCCCTGCACTATCCATTTAACTAAGGAAATGGACAAATTTTTCATTTTCTGGAAGTTATCACATTCTTAAAAAAAGGACAACTTCACTGATTGTGATAATATTTGGAGCAAAACCTGTGTGCAGGACATGAAGCTGGTCTACTAACCATACCATAAAATTGAAATTGGATTATTTAGTTTTGTTCCTCATGGTATGTTTAAATTGAGTGAATGAGGGCCTAGGAAGTTGAGTTAATGAAAGGCTTTCGGGGTGAGTCCTGGAGAATATTTGTTTGTTTCTAAAACTAATCAAGGTAGCACAGCTGGGCTCCTGGTACTGTTTTCACTCTCTAGTTCCTTCTATTTCTCCATCTATGAGTACTGGAAAAAATCATTTCTTATTTCAAGTCTAATCCATTCTGTGATGCTCGGCCTTGCAAAATATTAGCCAGTGTTTAAACAGAAAACCACTACTTTTAATAATTGAATTTTATATGTTATGAGTAAACAATGTGAAGTAGTTTGATTGCTCCTAGATTTATATTGAGCAAGACATCAGCACACATTCTATTGAATACATCTATTTTTCTGCAGATTAAAGGTGATTTCGGAGATAAATTCCAAACTATTTTGCTGGAGAAGGTCCAATTTGAGCCACCTGTGAGTAATGCTTTTACTGCATTGAGCTAGACTTTCTGAAGAATTAGCTTGAGAGCAGAATTGATATGCTCTGTGACTTGTTTGAACTCCATTTTCCATGCATTGCTACATTTCCAGTGACCAGAACAGGAGCAATGACATCCAGTCTAATGCAGTATTCATTAATGGAACAATATAAATGGTTTTCTTCATTACTGAAATAAAAGTGGAGACAGAAATGCGTGATAATTCATTTTGTTACTTGTGGCAATTCATTTAACGCATATTTTATGGAATGTTTACAAATTAACTGCATTAAATTGCATACTGTGGTATATTTTTATTAAAACACTCTATTCTCGGTAATGCTTTTGAATTACTATACTAGCTTGATTTGAATCATTCCTTGCATCGATTAGTTTTTAGGCCCAACAAATTCCAGGAATGGGCTATTTTTAATATCTTCTTTCCCTGACATTAATTCAGGCATCAAAAAGTGTGAAGAAGGTAGAAGTGGAGTCAAATGTCAAAAAAACTGAGTCAGAGACCAAAAAGGCTAGTAGCTCAGATGCAGACTCAAAAACAAAGAACAGTAGTGGTGCGGTATGTTACTTGTAACACATTGGCCTTCTGTTGTTTTTATTTGCTGATAAAGTTCTTGGGTCTGTTCCTCTTACAGTTAAAACTTTTTTGTTATTTAACTTTGTTTCTGGTTCTCTTGACCGTTTGTTGCAAGTGGCAGAAAATTTTGCCTTTTCAATTAGTGACAGTAATAGAAAATATTGTCACTACTACACTTACATTCCTCAATAAAAAAAATAAGAAGAAAATATTGTCATTACTTATGATTAGTGTCTTTGCTGCAGTCCTAGGTACTTTGGCATGACTTGTTTGGAATAATGACACGTTCTTGATGCTATCAGCTTTTAGTTTCTGTGAAATATCCCAAATTTTAAACTGTTTCTAACTGTCTAACACTTATCCCTTTAAATATCTGAAGAAGAAAGCTGCTGCAGATAATCAAACTTCTGCTGAAAAGAAGTTGCCTGAAAAGGTAGATGAGAGAGATAAAGATATCAGTGTTAGTTTGCTTAAATTACAGATTGGCCATATTAAAAAAGCATGGAAACATCCATCAGCTGATAGGTATTGTATTTTTCATTCTTTTTATTTGTAGTCTCTTTCCTGATACTTATCCGTTCCCTTTTGTCCTTTTCAAGTTCTGGTGATACCATGCCTTAGCAACTTTATATGTTATTCAATCTGTTTTGAACCCTTTTCCTGCGTTATCCCTGTGTATAGCTTACTGGTTGAGGAGATAGATGTTGGAGAAGCAAAATGTCGGCAAGTGGTTAGTGGCCTGGCAAAGTTTTGCAGTCCGGAGCAGTTAACTGTATGCTCTCTGTCATTAAGCATTAGCATATGCTATATTTCTGGCTGCTTTGAATTGGTATTTGCTGCATTCTTTTGGGAGCTTTTATTTCTAATAATTATTTTTTGTTGTCCATGCAGAATCGCCTTGTGGTGCTCGTGACAAACATGAAACCATCGAAACTAAGGGATGTAGCATCAGAGGGAATGGTATTATCTTCCCATCTAAGCTATGCTTAATTTCACCATATATTTTCCAGTAGTGTCTAAATCCTTGCAGATTAGCATAAGCTAGTTAATTTTTGCGTTATATTGAATGTTCTGCTTCCTCTTCCTAATATAATGGTTTTTTAACTTTTCATTTGCTATCTGGGTGTGTTCACTTCAAATAGGTCACTATTGTATTTTCTCATTATTCGGATATCTAGCGTTCTTAAGGTAGTTAGAACATATCCACTAAAGCAGTTTGAAATCCAGACAAATGTAGTTTGTGCATAGGAATATTTAGGTATTATATCTGAAGAAAGATGGGTCAGATGAATGTGTAGAGCTGTCCAGCTCAAGTCAACCTGTTTGTAGTATTCTCTCTGTTCGCAGTACTATCTCTCAAGCTCTTTACTGATAGTAACTCTTTTTTCCTAATTTTCTTTATAGGTATTATGTGCTTCTAATGAAGATCATACTGTGGTGGAGCCTTTGATAGCACCAGAAGGTGCCAAAGTTGGGGAATTCATCTTATTTTCTGGGTATGTTTTTTTTAGCTAAACCTGTTGGTATTGCATAAATTTCAAGTTCCACATTCTGTGCGCTTGATTTATGGCACCGATTCACGTAATATATATTATGTGGAATGTATTAATAAAAGATTTCCTTCATAAAAATAAATAAATAAAATCTTTCTTTCACAAAACATATGGCCCATGTCCCTTTTTATTCTTGGACTCTACCTTTCTGCCATTACCCTTCTAAATTTTGTCCCCTTTCTGTTTCATGGCACAAGATTTTCGGAACTACTATATTTACCACCTTAAGAAGCAGAGAATTATAGCAAGCAAGGTCTTTCAACTAAGGTGATTTTTTTAAAAATTACATTTGAAATTCCAGTGCCCTTAGATACTAGTCAGTTTTCAGTCCTTTAGATCGAGTGACCTCAAGATCATAGTTCTCTTTTTCTGGTGGTGTTCTTTTTCTCCCTCATTTTGACAGTAATTATGGTTTATGGATGCCCTAAAGAGCATGTGTTTTGTCTATTTTCTTCAAGTTGTGCCATTAGGCTGGATATGCCATTATGGCTTCTGTTCTTTTTGGTACCATGTATTCTTAATGTAAGACTCAGATTCTTGTTATGGTTTATTAATGTCTGCATTTGTCGATCTAGGCATGAAGGGAAACCAGAAGATGTTCTGAACCCCAAAAAGAAACAATTTGAAAAGATTGCCGTGGTATGTATCTTTGATTTTTTCTGCATATCTAAATCTTGTCATGTTTGGTGGACGAGTAAACTTACTGCATTCAGAGCTCTATCTGTCATGTTCTCTTAGTTGGCACTTGGCAACTACTTCTAGTAGAAGGCTAGAATCCATTGGTAACTGACTGCTCTTCATGATTGTGATCTCATTCTCAACTGGCTTTTTCAATTTCATCAGAGGCTTGAGTCTTTTGGGCCAAATTACAAATAGAAAACCTATTCATATATTATCAAGGCTGATTGACTCTCCAAATATATAATGAAACTCATGGCTTGTGAAAAACCTCATGATGTAGCTTACCATGGTTATTAGAATGAGACTGATTAATTTACTAGAGAGACGGGGGCATTCTTCTAAGTTAATTGTTTAGCTCGAGAAAGATAGGGTCCCTTTTTGAGTTTTCAGTTGTTTAGAATTCAGAAGCTGTAAAATTAGGGTTGCATTAACTTTTTAACTATGTGGTATAGGTAAATTTTCATAAATTCATATAGCCGACCTCAACCTGCTTGGAAATGATGTGTTGTATAAAACGTGGAAGGGAAACTTATAATGATAAAAATATCACATCATCGTTTAGTCGTCTCCTTATCCATTTAGATGTTTCTCATGTGAGAATCGTGTACTGCAGAACCTTTTCACTGATGATAAAGGAATCGCCACATTCAAAGGAATCCCATTCATGACATCTGCTGGACCATGCACGTCTTCAATTCCCCGAGCAAGCATCAAGTGATTGCACTTGTCAGCACAATAATATACTTCATTGTAGCTTCTCTTCCTTGTACTACCTTTGCTGAAAATGCATTGTTTAATCATTTGTTGCATTGTGCATGAAATACCGTTCTTTTCTTTTTCTTTTTGGGGCACTTGCACTATTTTGAGGTGAATGAGGTTAGCAGAAAGGGGTTTTGGGGGGAAGAAAGGTAATTTAGTTTTGTTGTATGTTTTTCTTCTATAGTTAAAAAAAAGTACTTTAAAATTAGAATGGTGCTCATTACATATCTTCAGAAACCTGCAACTATTATAAGGTTCTCCTTTCTTTTCTGTGACTAATTAATATCTTGCTGTCTCTGGTAACAAAATAGCTAAGATCTTCTCCTCTAGTGCGAAGGTTTGAATTGACAGTTAGCCAAAAGATGTAGAACGACAAAAACATGAATTGACAGACATTGTGGAGTTTTTACAGTTATGTGAAACGAAATTAAATCATAGGCGATAAACACAAATATTTCTCTAGTCATATCCTTGACATGATTTGGTGTGCTGGGACGAACTTGGTGTTTTCCTCGTACTAGCCTAGGAAAGAAATTGGAAGCTTCCCAGATTCTGTACTAGAATATCTATCACCAAATGGCAAATAGTTGTTTCCACGACTCATCAAAAGCATTAGCATTCAAATATTACGCGAGTGTTATCAAATCGGCGGGATTGCAGCTTATTTTCTGTAATCCAATCGAATCTTCAGTACACCACTTGGACTCCTTCTTTAGGCTACCAAAAATGTTTATATATCTGTTTGGGACAAGGATAAATGTGTCCTCTTCACCCCCCACCTCCTACCCCCCCCCCCCCCAAAAAAAAAAAAAAAAATTAATAATAATAATAAAAGGGGAGAAGGGAGATCCAGTTCGATTCATATTGATTTAGCAGGTGTAACAGACTCACAAATTAGCCTAACTGCAAGTATTTATTATTACCACCAAAACTTACAGAGTTGTGGTAATAATGCGAGTAGTAAACAGTATATGTGTGACCTTATTTTTCAAAGTCGTGGTGTGAATGGTGAATAGACTATACTTCTCTTATTTATTTCATAGTAAAGTAACAATGCTAAGGATACAACTCGAACATGGGATCTTTGAGTTACGATGTTGTTATCTTAATCAGGAGATGATTTCTTTCCAAGTAGAGACCCCTTCTCCCTAACCCCCTAAAAATGAATTTAATAAACACAAGCCTACTTTATTATTTATTCAAATCTATTCAGGTTGAGCTTATGAGAACGTGCATTGGACCTAATTAGGATTTGGTTTCAACTTTAAAAAAAGGTCTATATTTTAACCTCAACTTGGTGCATGTAGTGAGTTGCTTCATTAAGTATCATGCCTCAACCTTACGTGCTTTTTGTGTTAAAGGACAGCAACAATGTGCTTAAATTGGAGGTAAAAATAATAAATATTTTCAATCATGAAAATAAGTATCACTAGTGATAGTATAGTGGAAAATGAAGTACTAGACGATCATATGAATAAAAATTATAGTAGTACGTAATAAGTTTGAGAAAGGAATGCGATGGCATTGTGAATAAAACAGGAAAGCAAATAATTGGGAGCTTTCTGGTTTAACTACATATCTCACCAAAGAAATGCTGCTGTATGCGTAACACATACTTAGGAAGTGATATGAATGATGAATCGGCATATTAGAACGTACTGTATTTCTATCTCTAGCTAACAAGAAAGAGAAAATAAAAATTGTGTTTCCTTCATTGTTGCATTGGAATCCGATCCCTATAATATCCAAACCAAGCATATTTAACCTTTAATGATAGTATTTTGTACCTCTAGTTCCTCCTGTGTATACGGGTGAAATCGGGGATAACGTACAACCCGATTTCCCAGTGAATAAAACAAAGTGAGGGCATGAATATACAAGATTGAAATCGAAGCTAGGAACTCTTTGTATCGGGGTCCATAAAAAGTGAACGAAATGCTCGCGATCGGACCTGATAAAATGACGCACCCCGGACTCGGGACGAGTCTTGAAACTTCGGAAAGCACAATGAACGGTTGTACGCAACGGATAGAGGGCTGTGATATATGCAACCAACTGAATATCACTGCGCGGATCTCGCTCGATGGAGGTTACGCATCAGTAATGAATGAGAAAGGAAGATTTTTACCTTTTTATGAGTTGTACCAGGGATGAAACTCTCCTACTATATAAAGGGGAGATTTTTCTTTCTTTGAGGACACATCGTAACACGCAAAGCAAGGCAATACAAATTCAATTTTCTGCTTTCTAGCTATTGTAAAAAGTTTTACTTCACTAGTTGCTCTTCATTCATAAATGGCTTCGAGCTAAGGGTCCGATCGAGGGCAAAACCACTGTTCAATCTAAGTTCGAGTTGGGCCGTAACATTACATTTGGTTAAATTATTCATTTTATCTTTAACTCATTTATCTAATATTCTTGATTATTTTGTATTGAATCAATTCACATATCCTTAAAACCACGTACAAATTTAATTGTTATCCATTTTAAGGATAAACAGTTTGGCGCCCACCGTGGGGCTAAGGATAATAGTGGTGGTTTGATACAAATCTCCCTATCACACTCTATTTTATGCTTGTTCTTTAAAGTCTTAATTTCAGATCAGCTTAAAAATGTCAAATTCTCAGTCTGCCCACTTGAACGTTGATGCTGAGTCTAGCCATCACGGCGAAAACAATAATCTGGTGCCTAGCAATGAGGTGCCCCTGCTGATCCCAACGGAGTCCTAGTTGCCGATACGGCCGATGCCAACTCACAGGTGGCTATCAACGTCAATCTGCCAACTGATCCTGAAAACAGCTTCACGGAGGACCCCGACTAACAGCTCGAGAAGCGCCCAAAGGCGAAGTTAATGGGGTAAGCCTGCGGCTAATTTTTGAAATATTGTAGGCTTAGCAGGCGGCGATAGCACAACTACAGAATCAATGCCACGCCCTAGTAGGGTCGAGCCCGAACAATCCTGGGAAAGCACCCAAAGAAACGAACAAACCACCGAGAGACCGGGTGAAGGTGAGCCCGGGGTCAACCTACGAGATAATGAAAATGCTTGAAGCATTAAAGAAGCAGGTGGAATCAGGTGGGAAGAAAATTGAGGCCAGTGACAAGAAGGTGGAAACATACAATTCCAGGGTCGACCAAATCCCGGGAGCAACCCCGATATTGAAAGGGACGGATTCTAAGAAACTTATCCAAAAGCCTTTCCCTCCGAGCGCAGCACAAAAGCCGATCCCGAAGAGGTTTCGTATGCCCGATATTCCAAAATATAACGGAACCACGGATCCGAATGAGCATGTGACCTCCTATACATGCGCCATCAAAGGGAACGACTTAGAAGATGATGAAATCGAGTCGGTGTTATTGAAGAAATTCGGGGATACTTTGTCAAAATGAGCGAAGATATGGTATCACAACTTAACCCCAAATTCCATTGACTCGTTTGCCATGCTTGCAGATGTTTTTATGAAGGCCCATGGCGGGGCCACCAAGGTCGAGACTAGAAAATCGGACCTTTTCAAGGTTAAACAAAGAGATAACGAGATACTTAGGGAGTTCTTTTCAAGGTTTCAGATGGAACAGATGGACCTGCCTCCTGTTGTAGATGATTGGGCCGTTCAGGCATTCACTCAATAACTTAACCCCCCAAGCTCCTTGGTTTCACAACAGCTAAAATAAAATTTGGTAGAGTACCTGTAACTTGGGCCAACGTTCACAATAGGTACTAGTCAAAGATCAGAGTCAAGGACGACCAACTCGGAGCCCCTTTTAGAATTTTTATCCCATCAGGGCCGATGACAGGTCTAAGACAGTCGTCGATCATGAGCCAATGTTGGTCCGGGATTGGTACCAACCATACAATGCGGACCTAAGGGGAAATGGGTCCGGGCATCACCCCGCGAGGAACGAAAAGAGAAGTGATCGAGGGCCCAATAGCCGAGGTCTGATGAGCAAAAATGGTTTCGATAGGTCGTTCGGAGGTAGGAAGCGCCAGATTGAGGCCAATCTTCCTAACTGCGTGCAGGCCAGGCTTAGAGCGCGTGAAACTCATCACTACCTTGTAAGGGCGTTGAGACCATAGAATATAACTTCAACGTTGACGCTGCCTGTATCGTATCAGCCATCGGGCGCATCAAAGAAAACCAAGTGGCCTCGACTATTGAGTCTGACCCTACCCAAAGAGATCCTAACTTGATATGTAATTATCATGGCACTCATGTACACATGACCGAGGATTGCCGATAATTGAGAGAAGAAGTTGCCCGGTTGTTCAATAATGGGCACCTCCGAGAATTTTTGAGTGATCGAGCCAAAAACCACTTCAGGAACAGGGACGCCAACAAACAGACCGAACAAGAGGAGCCCCAACACGTCATCAACATGATCAATGGAGGGGTCAATGTCCCCCAAGGGCCAATGATAAAGCACACTAAAGTATCTATCACAAGGGAAAAACACACCCGAGATTATGTGCCGGAGGGAATCATTTCGTTCAGCTACAAGGATGCCGAGGGCATCGTACAACCTCACAATGATGTGTTGGTAATATCCGTGCTTGTCAATAAATCTCTAATTAAACGTATGTTGATTGATCTAGGTAGCTCGGCCAACATCATCATATCAAGGGTCATAGAGCAGTTGGGGCTACAGAACCAAATAGTGCCGACAGTCCCGGTGTTGAACGAATTTAACATGGTATGTGAAACTTCTAAGGAGAGATAACCCTGTCGGTGAACACCACCGGGACAATACAAGAGACAAAGTTCTACGTAATCGAAGGGGACATGAGGTATATCGCTATATTCGGAAGGTCGTGGGTTCACAACATGAGGGCGGTACCCTCTACCTTACACCATGCGTTGAAATTCCCTTTATCGGGAGAAATTAAGGCGGTCTACGAAGAGCAGCCAGCTGCAAAGGAGATGTTTGTGGTCGACGAGGTAATCCCAGTGCCCGGAGTTTCGACATCAAGGAACACGGAGCCGGCCAAGGAAGAAACTAAATAGAAATCACTAGTGTCGGTCTCGGTCGAACCGGAGAAACGAGAAATAGACGATGAGGAAGATTACGGAGTCCCAAGATAGTTCATAGCTCTTGATGACTCGGATGCCGCAAAATCGATGGTCGAGGAGTTGGAGCAAGTCATACTTAATGAACACCTACCAGAACGAAAGGTATACCTGGGCACGGGTTTAACCCCCAAGCTCAGGAAATTTTTTATTGATTTTCTTAAAGCTAACATAGGTTATTTCGCTCGGTCCCATCTTGACA